GAAACGAAGTTGAAAATGGTTAAGTCCAAAATATTTTAGTTATAAAAAATATGCTTGGGACTAAGAGCATGGATGCATAGCTCGAACACCACTTATAAACATAGTTTGAACACATAATTTAGACACAAAGCTCAAACACAGAGCTCGAACACATAATTCAAATTCCAAAATATAGAGCCTTTGTATAACACATACAGAGCCTTTGTATAACACATACAGAACCTTTGGGTCAAGATATGTTAAACATTTTAAGAACTTGGATCTTTGATTACAACCAGAGGCCTTTTTGTTGGACATGAAGACCAACCAGAGCCCCTTTGGCTCCTCATCAAACCTTTATTTTATTGAAATAATTTGAAGTATGACCATCCAGAAACCAGACCAATTCCCAAAAACATTGTTAATTCAAAGCACAACCAATCAGAGCCTCTCTGATTACAAACAATTTTCCTCCTCATCATAAAAACGTTATTATCACATCGATTAGGAGCAACAATCCCAAGTCCTCGTATCACACAGAGACGATAACTCAAGATCATTACATCACATGGATGCGATAACAAAATATATGATCACAACTCAAATTTCATAATTGACACCCTTATTCTAATGTACACATCTCCTTGATATGCCATCATTATCTTAATGTACATCTCTCCTTGATATGTCATCCTTATTCCAAGGTACATCTCTACTTGATATGCCACATATATTTCCACATAAAATATAACCATAACAAATTTATCATTTTTGCCAACAAAAATGGCATCATAACAGAAACTCATATTAAGAACTATATAGTTCTAAACCCAGTTTTATCATTAACTCAAAACAGCTTCAAGAACATTTTGCCTTCTTCCACATAAGAACCAACCACTTCAGTATTTCAAATATTAAATATGAAAAGTTGATAATATAAACCCACCTTATATTCACGTATATGGAGATGAATTTACACAACAATGATTTCCAAATATAACCACAGAATCAACTTCTTCTTCTTACAAAATCATGTAGGATTCCACACAAGAACACACATACACAGAGTAAGATTTTTTTTTTCTTTTCCTTTCTATCCAAAACAAAACTTATCTTATCACTTTTATGCTACCATACAATTCAAAGGCGGTCGAGTTAAATAGTTTTATAACTATAATTTTCGCACTCATCCTTATGAAATAAATTAAATATAAAATCATAGGTGGTGGTATTTATAAGCAAATAAAAACATAACAATTAAAATTTCTTTACCTACCAATATCTTTCAAAAACCACCCCAAATTTATATAATCGAAAACCTGGTTATCACAGAGAATTATTGTCATATTATTTATTTGTTTTTATCTCCCTTCCAGTTGACATTTTACACATTTTTTTTTTGGAAAAAAGAGCATCTTACACATTTTTTTGTATTATGAAAAATATATCTATCAACACAATTTGTCTACATAAAGAAACTCATTCTTGATGATCGGAAGTTACAATGGTTGCCAACCCTAACAAACTCGATCAAAACTTGCCCTTAACCATAAAGCTAGATCCGATCATAGCATACGCTTTCGAACCAATTTGACCATTTTTAGATTCTTGTAAACGTGGATGTTCGAACCAATTTGACCCCTATTTATTCCTAATCAAACCTAATTAACTTCACCTAAACCATGCATACACTACCTCTACTCGCATATAACCGGTTGGGTTTAGAACACCAGTCTGTACTAAGACCATGATGCTACACCAAAATTAAGTTTATAGGGCGCTTAAGATGTTTAAGAGTCTTAATACTAAGACAAACTATAGAGTCTCAAACGTGAAATATTACAATAGGTTTATAAGACATTTTTTTGGTGTCATAACAAGTTTTTTAGAATACTTTTATAAAAAAAACGTCCTATTAATTATTTTATGGAATACCATTTGAAAAAACGATAAAACCAAATGTTCTATAAAGATGTGTTCATAAGACACTTAACAAAAGTATCTTATAAAATTGTTAATACAACATTTTATTTAAAATGTCCTAGAAAACTTTGTTATAACACCTAAAAATGTCATATTTCGGTACGAAACTTTATTGTTAGATTCTATAAAATTATGTGGCATAAAACATTTAGTAGAACATCCACAATAGAGGTTTTTTTTTGAGATTTCTACTGAGTTTTTTATAAAAACATTTCATGTGGTACAAAGGTTGTTGTCTAGTTATAAGTTTTTAACAAGAACCTAAGCTCTTGGATACATTTTATTGTTATTTTTATTTTGTTTTTTAATCAATTTATTTTATTTTAACCGTCTATAAAAAATCTAAGTTAAGTCTTTTTTAAAAATATAAATTATTTATTATAATTTTTTTTCAATTCTTGTAAAATTTTATACAAGTTTTTATATCTTAAATTTTAGTTATTTTATTATACTAGAAGCGTATTCGTGCAATGCAGCGAGATACATCGTGATTTTAATATTTTATTTTATTATTTATCTCAGTCGATGTTATAATATGGCTTTATGTGATTTTGAGAAAGCGATGATGTTATTATTTTTGAATAAAATATATGTTTGAAGATATCATAAAAATTTAACAAAAATATATAGATATTAGTATCAAATTAACTATTTGAAATTCCTCATTTTTTGTGTAATTTTTAATTCAATTTTTTTATAACTTAATTTAGGGACAATAACGAAGTAATTTATATTTGGTTTAATAATATAATTTTTTTATAAAGATAATCATTATTTATTTTGTTGGAACTCGATAATTATTCTAATTATATTTTAGGTTTTTTATATTTTAAAATAAGATGTTTATCCTCTATTTGATTATATTTATCCGCAATTAGTTATACGAATTCAAAAATCGAACTTTGATAGGTTGTACTTTTGCATAATTTACTTGTAATCTTGAATTTTAAGTAAACATTGGTTTTATGTGGTTTTGAGAAAGTGGTAATATTTTTATTTTTGAATAAAATATAAATTTAAAAATATCATAAAATTTTG